TTTATTTTTTAGGTCGTCTTTTACGATACAAGCTATACAACTTTGGAACACCCACCCAAACGATATTACGAATGCCACAAATAAAAAGTTTTCAAAGTTCTTCTCCAAGAACATTACCTGAAGGCAACTGCTAATTGACATTATTTTTCCTTAATTCTTGTCTTTCTTTTCTTCTTTGTGTTCTCTGTGCACTTATTTATTTATGATGGTCGCACCTGCCATCAATTGTCCTTGGCACCCAGGGTTGACTGGCAGAGAATGCCACATGGCATTAAGTCCGCCATATGTACCCTTTAGCTTAAGGTGTTACATGTAAGTTTTTAAATAAATAAATAAATAAATTTATTCTGTGCTTAAACCGTGAAAAATATTTATTCGCACGACCATACCTTGTCACATATATCGATGATTATAAACATGTTTACGTGGCATCCTCAGGGCGCAAGTTTTGTGATTCGTTATTATTGTTTTGCAAAGGAGACGGTTCAAAATTGTATTAAGCGCAGGCTTAGTTTTTTTTAATAGTAGGGATATAAATTAAAATAAAATATTAAACAACTTTTGATATATTTAAATTCACTAACTTGCCTTTATTTCAGTGATTTTAATATTTTATTCGCACCAAAAAATTGAACACTAATGGCAAAAAGATGTTGTTTTGACGGTAGCTGTCAACTGTCATGAGGTTACTGATTCATTTATTGTTGGCTATTTGAATTCCTAAATGTTGTGTAATCCTTATCACTAAATTAAAACCATATTGCCAAAGAAATCCACCAGAAACACAATAAACGCATTCACGAGTTCAAAACTACACGACAAAAGCTCGGAATATATAAGAGTATTACGCTACCTACAATATTTCATGACTCAAGTCACTTGTCAGAAATAAAATTTTACAAATAACAGCATCTTTTTTATGACTGGAACGGCGCCATCTTGCGAAACCATCAAAAACTTGGGATTGCATTTTTATTTTAAGCAAGTATTTTTTTATTGAATTTTTCGCTTTTTACGGTAAAGTGTACATATGCCTGAAATAGTCCGTCTCCTTTAATAATTTTATTTTAACCTGAATTTTATTTTAAATTGACAGGACGAAATACATATTATTATCCCGTTGGTGTCGTAAGAGGCAAGGGAAAACTGAAATAGGAGACGGCAGTAGGATCTTTCTGATATTAACACAATAAGAAACTGCGGGAAACCCTATGAGACAATTCATGGACGAGGCCTATATTCAGATGTGGACTTTGATGGCCTATAATATTTGAATGAATGAGACAAGCATCTTATAAAAAAAATTTCAATTCTACTTCTAAAGTCTATGTGTATCGGAAAAATTGATTGTCAATCGCCATAATATTAGTCAATTTTAAAGCCAAATTTTCGCTTGAAATACAAATGAAAATTCACAATCGTTTTGCACACTGCACAATTTATTGTCTATATCCTGCAAAGTATCAATTCAAAACCAATTGCAAAACCAGTTCACAATCCCAATCAGTAATGAGAAATTCCCACAACGAAGGCTATAATCCTTCAGCTTTCGTAACTCTCATGCAGTGAAATTGAACATATTTATATGCAGTCCATTGAAACTCTTGACAAAGTTTGGCCTATTTTATATTTCCCATGAAATATTACAAGTATTCTATACTCTTTTTTAAAATATGTGACATTATTTGTTAGGTGGTAGGATTTAGTCGCCTAGTCCGTCAGTTCAATGTAGTCTCTGAATGTTTCGATCTTAATTGTATAGAGAGTAATTACAAGCTGCGAGACATTCTATCTTGGTCTTCGGAGATGACGACGCATCTGTAGCCTTATTTTTTTTTGCAGACGTCAATGGGCGTAATGGGCAAATGTAGTAGCCAATTTCCGTTAAAGCTCATTTGTCATTTCAATTTTATAAAATAAGTTTTTGTGAGTAGTTTTAACTAGTAGTTACGACCTTTGAATGCACCACAAGGCAAGCAAAGATTATGATTATGCAGACAGTGAATATAAGAAAAAATAATTTAAATTTAGACATAAGGAATACCGTTAATCTATTTGGTTCGTATCATAAGAGTAGGTGTTATCAGAGAATGAAATTGGAGATTTGGTTACAGGTATTTTTTATAGAATAATGGTGACAGTCGAACACACAGTTCAACTGTGGTAAATGAGTTCTGTCGCCCACTACATCCTCATTTAACAATTAAAATGCAGATACTTTGTCACCCCTGAGGACTGAGATGGAATACCTCGTTTCTAGTAAAATGATCTCCGGTTTTCTACACTCGCCAACGAAACACAGCAGCGCAAAGCTGCTATTTTGCGCTGAAATTCTGTGAGAGCGTGGTCTTACCTAGGTTTAGCCGATCCATTTGTGCTATAACCATAATATAGCTGCAGCGTGGTTGTACCAAGTTAAAATCTCCACCACCTCTCAACCTAACAGTAAATGGATGCAGTGACCCATAAACACTAAATAGATCAACGAATAAGTATAAAAATATAGATACTTCTACACTCACATTTTTAGGTTATTATGTTGTGTCACGCTGGTATCCCCAAAAACCATGGTCGTACTCTAATTGAACCAAACCATTGTACACATATATTTTATATATTAGAGATGGGCCAAATATGAATTTCATCGAATATGAATATTCGGCGGAAAGTTCGGTAAAACATTTATCGCACCGAATATTCGGCCGAACATCATTCGGCAGGATCACCTCGGTGCCTAACCGATTTTTGTCGAAACTAATTGTTACCGTAAAGCGCGCGGGATTTTCGCCGGATCCTACCCCTCGCAACCCCCGCCACACCTGACATGTTATTGCAGTATCTAGTACTGAGCAAATTGCCGGCACGTGATTATGTTTTGACTATTTTGTGAACTTTAACGTATGGTAGTGAAAGTTGGGTATGGCAGAAGAAGCACGAGAGTAGAATAAATGCAGTAGAAATGCGGTCGTTAAGGAGTATGTTAGGGCTGAATCTGAATGACAGGGTGAAAAATTGTGTGATAAGAGAAGAGTGTGGTTTGCAAGATGATGTTGTGACCAGGATTAAGAAAGGAATGCTTCGGTGGTTTGGTCATGTGGAAAGAATGGATGAGGAAAGAGTGACAAAGAAAATTTATGTTGCAGAAGTGAATGGCAGAGTCGGAAAGGGACGTCCTAGGCGAAAATTTATCGACCAAATTGGCGATTTATTGAAAACGGGCCAAATTAGGAGTACCCTTAACCGACGAGCATGCATGCGTAGGTGTATGGATGTGAAGGAGGCGAGAGAGGTGTGTCAGGATCGTGCCAAATGGAAGTCTGTAGTCTCTGCCTACCCCTCTGGGTGACAGGCGTGAGTGTTTATGTTATGTTATTTTGTGAAAAAAAATATGTCACTGTGTTATTCTTAGTGATTTTTTTTTTGAAATAAATATTTCTTAATTTATTTTATTGATAAATATATCATAAAAATAGTGGTAGGAAATCTACTAACGTTACTACTAACTTTAACGAATGTTCGGTGATTTAGCCGAATATTAGGCCGAATAAGAACATTCGGTAAAGCTGCCGAATACCAAATTTGAAACGAATATTCGGTCCATCTCTATTGTATATTATGACTGCCGCATTGTTATAAAAGTCCGCTCTTTATCTGGCATACTGGGAATATAACCCAATAGTTTTTAATTAAGTTTTATAACCCTGTTGAAATTGTATACCTCATATAAAACAAAAATCGACTCTGCGTTAGTTTATATACGTTTTTCTTCGTAACTGTAAAACGGGTTTTGTTTCGTGTTTCACCATTGGGTATGTACAGTTCATTCGAGAGGTTAGAAAAGGTCTAATAAATGGGAAAAACTGAAGTAGGATATAATATATGCTTTCGTAATAAATTTATTGTTAACCATTCATTTAGTCGTCGTAATAGAGATATCAATACCTGCCAAAACCCATAGAGTCTCTCAGTTAAAGTTACTTTTTTTTGTAAGTCTCACGGGATTTAAACCATAAAGTTATACAACTTAGGATTACATTTTTTTTGCAATCTTATAAAGTAGATGCAAAAACACGTTACACGTTACACTAAGATTTTATCTGTATCCTAGTACCGTTTTACATATCTACTAACTCTGCTGTCACAGAATAACAGCGTATTTAATTATTTAATATATATTGAAATTTTACAGCTTATACATTTGTCAATATATATATATATATATATATATCTATATATCGTCGCAGTCGTAGAACAAAGACGGATCTGCAATTTAGCAATTTTACAGGAGAGCCGCCCAAAGATTTTTTATGGAATATTACTCCATATTATTAAAACTAGTAATTCAATTAACGTGAAATTTGGACAAGTTGTTTTGTATGACGACTTTTTTAATGTGATTTACACTACAAACTCCTAATATGTATAGTTTTCGTAAAAAGTCATATCGGTCGTTGTTCTCTGCAATATAATGTGACGTATGTAATTAACCGACGTTATTGTATGGAGTTCAAATTTTTGGTTCATGACGGATGATACTTTCCGTCAATGTCCTAGGCGTAGTTACAAAAAAATTATGGGCGGTTTTGAAATATGTAAGTCTAGGAAATGAAATAACAACCAATTTATAATTTTACATATTTTATACCACTTAAGGCACGAGAGATAGGTTTTCAAATCAAATTCTTACAACTACAAAACTAAAAAACTTTTTAGGATAATCTTAGGGAAAATGAATACCCACATATAAAAGTAAACGTATTTTATACGGTACTGTTAGTATATATTTAAAAAAAATATGTATTTTCAAAAGTAGAGTACAGTAATTTCAATGAAATAACAGTATATCTTATATAAACTATTGAAATACTTATTATAATAGACGGTAACTAGGAACTCTGTTCGTGGTAACATTTTAAAACAGTCTTAAACTTTTCTTAGAATAATGTAACCTACATAATATAAACTAATCAGACTTAAAATTCTTTGATAAGTTTTGTTTTTTAACAATCGTCATCATCATCATCAGTACCATCAGCATATCCTGACGCTTCTACTGTGAGACTGTGTGGCAAGGATCGAAAATAAGGATGGTATTTTTCTGGGATTATTCCAGTCTCGCAAAGGCTGATGATATCTTTATATTTATCGTTTGTAATATCAATTGGCCCTGAATAAGCGTTTTTAAGTGTTTCTGTTGTAATATTTCTTGTCTCCTTGCGAATTATTAACGTCATTGAATCATCTTCTAGGCTATATTTATACTGCATTTTATTAGGTTGACTTTCTTCAATTACTACTTCTCTTATTCTTGACCACATTATTTTTTCATTTTGTGTATTCTTTGTCCAGTTTCTTTTTTTTAATAACTCTTTAAAGTTATAAACCTGTTCTCTATTAAGATCTCTTACTTCGTATGGATTCTCAGATTTCGCCCATCTTATTAGAAGCTTCCACTCTTCCGGAGTATAAATGACTTTATGCTCTCCAGCTCTTTCGATCACCGAGTGCACAGAGTCACCCTCGTTTTGAGTGTGCCCTTTTTCAAGAAAGCGGTGAGTAATAGTAACACCAAACTTTTTTGGCCACATGACTGTAGAGTGCAAATATAATACGGTTCTTATTTTGGCCAGCACAGTTGTCTGACCAAAACCTGAAATCCTTAACTCCTTTATCAGAAATATCTTTCATAAAATCATATAGACAACTAGCGAACTCATTAGAGCCTCGTTTCGCCACACTTTCGTCCCACACATAACAATATCCCTTTTTTGTAGAAACATCAAATATTGTAAAATTGTAGCAAGACAGCTTGCGTTTGTAATAGAGTACACTCATCTGTCCATGTGGACACGATAAAACCTTTTGAAAGTCGAATGTTGCACATAAAATCATACCGTTTGATAAAACAGCTGCATTTTTGTCAGAATTTTTTAGCTTTCTAGAAATAGTCTTATATGATTGATGTCTTTTGTGTTGTTCTTTCAATTCTTCAGAAGGGTTTTCAGTCTGTTTAAAAATATGGCATTGGTCACAAGTATCTTTTTCAGGAATGTGAAATGATAGATTAAATTGACTGTTTACAATATCTCGGTACTGTCGGAGAGTTGTAGCTTTTTTAGAATACTTGTCTAAGTCCGGCCAGTCATTATACATCATGAACATGCGAGCCACACTCAGACTGCCTTCTAAATAAAGCCTTTTTGACCCTTTCCGACAATAGTGCGATTCTATTGGCACGAAAGAGTTGACATGAGCGCATACGGATAACAACATTTCGTTATCAATTACTATTTTATGATTATTGTGACGCCCTCTCATGTCTTGTTCGACATCTGAGCTGCCATCATGTTTTTGCCAGGCAGTTCTTGCTGTACGCTCGCTGATACCCAGAGTGTTTAAAAACATGATTTTGCAGACATCAATTTTATCATAAATGGTAGTGTTATCAGTTTTTTTCGGTAAATAATATTTATATGTAAATACTCTATTGTGCTTTAACTGTCGTGCGAATGTCCTGTTTTTCGGTTGTTTTTTTGTATAGTTAGCTACATACAACCATTGTTTTTCTTTGCTACCAAGTTCCCAAAACCTGGTAAAAATCTCAAGACGCTCTTCATTTGAATTTTTTTTAGTACATTGAAATCTGCATTTGCACGGAGAACCCATTATTTTAGCATCAACTATACGCCCTCTTTTTGAAACATACGTTTTGCCTTGGTTTTTTAGGTTTTTTCGCTTTATTTCTCCCCAATCATCATATTTTCGAGTGCGCTTTTTCCCTCTGCTTTTTAAAAACGTTGAACACGATGGAGATGGTTGGTTAGAGTTTGTACCAATAGTAGATACTGAAGGGCAGGAAAAATCATCAGTTTCATGTTGGCAACAAAACGGATCATCACATTTTGCATGTTTATTTACTGGGGATGCTACTGGAGTATTGGGTAAAGACACTTGAGAAGAACCGTCGATATTTTCAGTTAATGGGGATGGTAAAGCATTAAAAATGGGAGTCAACATCGTTGGAGATCTAATGTTACTATGTACCTGTGAGGTTTCTGATGGAGGGAAATCAATTGCGCTAATAGGAGTCATTTCACCTACAGGCATAAAAGGATCTTCATTTTGTTCAGGAACGGAATCTGCTGCAATTGACTCGTCTTGATGGTATGTGACTGGTGGTTCTTGAATGTCATTTTCTGAAAGGGCATCATTCCATACATCTTGCATTAGCTGAATTGACAATATTTCAACTGCTTCAAGTGGTAACGGCGATTCACAAGTCTGTTCCGCTGAAAAAATAAGTAGTTGCTAAGTAGGTTTTAAGCAAAAATATCAAAACGAATTTGTTACACTATTACCTTCTCTCAACTTAACATATACCGTGTACTTTCTATAGATTTTTAGAATATGTAATTTTACAAATGTACTCGCTCGGAAGTCAAACGCGTAACCTATTCCGATTGTCCAACAACACAACCACCGTGTCATCGCGATTGATAAAAGATATAAGGCCATATCAAGGTTGTATGTTGTGTAATTATTTTAATAGAATAAAACCTTAAATAAAAACTATTTTTAAACATACATGGAAAAAACTATTTTAAAAAGCGTGATGATAATAATGAAAACAAATTATAAGAAAAAAATATCAAAGTGAGTCTATTTATAAATGAACAACGATGTATGTTAAAAAAATCCCTTGAATAACGTCGGATATGCATATTCAACTAGCATCTATCCGTAGAAAAATGACGGGTCGTACAATACGCCCTCGAATGGTCCATAGAACATTGACGGTCAATCAATTCCATCAAGAAAAATAAACACGACTAACAAGGATGTGTTGTGACACGTATAAATACTATTAATATTATTTAAACCGTGTTAACACAAAAATAAAAATAAAATTATCCATAGGACAATGACGAGTTTGACAAACCGTCGTTGTACGGTGGATAAGTAAATTCAATCTTATGTAATAACCAAACAACATACAAAGTCTTAGTAAAGCAATAAAATATTATGATATTCACTTACCCGTAATGTGTGTTGACTGCTCTTCTGATTTTTCTATACCATTGTTATTATTAAACAATATTCTTTGATCGACATCCGTACCTTTATCATCATTTTTCACCAACGCTAACATTCGTTTTGACCTCGAATTCATATTTTTACTTTATTCGAGTTAAATACATACGTATAAACTCTTGTGATTTTAGAAATAATTTGAAATTTATTTTAAAACTCGCCGCGAGTGACATGTGCGCGTTCCCGTAGAACAAGAACGACACTAGTGATCCGCCGCGGTGAGCGGGGTGCGGGGGACGAGCGCCGTCCGCCGAACACGGACACATTCTTTAATCGGGCGTTGTACTACGCTCACAGAATCAAATCCGTCGTTATTCTAGACTATATCTCAGGCATTTAGTACCTTTTATTACAAAAAAGTGTCATCAATCGAGAAAACTCATAATTACATGTCGATTTATGCAATAAACAATTTTTATAAAAAAATCAGAACCGTCTCTGTTCTACGACTGCAACGATATATATATATATATATATTATAGAAGAGGGGGCAAACGAGCATGTGGCTCACCTGATGTTAAGTGACGCCCATGATCAACCGCAACACCAGGAGAATTGCAGGTGCGTTACCGGCCCTTTAGGAAGGAGTAAGCTCTTTTCTTGAAGGTCCCCAGGTCGTATCGGTCCGGAAAAATCACCGGTGGTAAATTATTCCACAGAGAGGTTGTACGCGGAAGAAAACTCCTTTTGAAACGTACAGTGGTGGACCGCCAAGCATCCAGATGGTGTGGATGGTATCGGGACGTTTGCCGCGTAGTGCGTTCACGAAATTTGGCGGCTGGGATTAATCCGAACAATTCCTCAGAGCACTCCCCCGTGATAGATGCGATAAAATACGCAAAGAGATGCAACATCTCTTCGCAGCGCCAGTGAATCGAGCCGATCGGAAAGCACTCGGTCGTCGACGATTCGAGCCGCTCTGCGCTGGATGCGGTCAAGTGGAAGGAGCTGGTACTGGGGAGCCCCAGCCCAGAGATGGGAACAGTATTCCATGAGCGGCCGAACCTGCGCCTTGTAAAGTTGCAGGCGGTGTGCCGGCATGAAATACTGTTCCGCTCTGCTGAGCACGCCAAGCTTTTTAGAGGCTAATTTGGCCTTCCCTTCCAAGTGACCACGAAACTGCACGTCACTCGATATGTCGACGCCGAGGATTCCGATACTGGCTGAGGCAACAAGGGGAGTGCCTTGAAACTGAGGGGATACGACAAAGGGGTTCTTTTTAGCGGTTAACGCGCAAACTTGTGTCTTCTGGGGGTTAAACTGGACTAGATTTAGTCGCCCCCAATCCGAGACTCTGTCCAGCAGAGACTCGACTTCAGACACAAGTTTGTCCCGGCACTCAGAGACATTTTCCCGAGAAATATTGGCTCGGCCGATGTAAAGAGCATCACCAGTGCTGTCATCTGCATAGCAATGAATGCTACGGGTTTGCAACATATCATTGATATGCAGAAGAAACAGCGTTGGCGATAGCACGCAACCCTGTGGAACACAATTAATAAGCTTGCAATCGGAGCTTGCACCGTCTACAACGACCTTGATGCTCCGATCTGCAAGAAAACTGGTGATCCAATCGCACAATTTCTCGGGAAGCCCATAGGAAGGGAGCTTCGAAAGAAGCGCTTTGTGCCAAACCCGATCGAAGGCCTTCGCAATGTCCAAACTAACGGCCAATGCCTCCCCCTTGGACTCTACTGCCTCCGCCCATCTGTGAGTTAGGTAGACCAGAAGATCACCAGCTGACCTACCACGGCGAAAACCGTATTGGCGGTCACTAATCAGCTGGTGATCCTCAAGGTACCTCATGAGCTGGCAGTTTACAATGGACTCCATTGTTTTGGAGAACAAGGAGGTGATGGCGATAGGCCGGTAGTTGGACGGGTCTGAGCGGTCGCCTTTTTTAGGGATCGGGTGGACGAAAGCCGTCTTCCATGATTTTGGGACTACACCTAGGGAGTAGGAGTACCGGAAAAGACGCGTTAAAACCGGTGCCAACTCTGGAGCACACGTCCTCAGCACAATTGGGGGGATTCCGTCAGGCCCACTCGAATAATGGATGTCCAGGGAGAGGAGTGCTTTGCGAACGAGCGCTGAGTGAATTGCATTTCCGGCATGGAGCACTCACACCGCGGGATGGTCGGCGGCGTACTCCCCCCGTCATCGAGAGTCGAGTTAGACGCAAAGAAAGAGCCTAGAAGATCGGCTTTCTCCTTTGCGGTGTGGGCCAGTGAGTCGTCCTCCCTGTGCAGAGATTGAAGAGATGGCTGACAGAAATTCCCCTGGACAGCCTTGGCGAGAGACCAGAATGCACGGGTTCCAGAAGGAAGACGAACTAGTCTCTCGCCAATTCTGCCTATGTGCTCTGACTTTGCCTTGGCAATGACTCTTTTGAAGGACCTAGAGGCGGAATTATACTTCTTTTTTTAGAGCGCTGGTGTTTACATCCCTGGACGCTGATGCGTCAGCCCAGGCTCGGTAGCACTCCTGCTTATAGCATGATGCTATTTTACAGGAGCGACCAAACCATGGCTGAGATTTGCCTCCAATGGGCACCACAGAGGAAGGAATAAAAAGTTCCATACCCTGGAGTACCACATCAGCGACAGAATCCGCAACAACGTTGGGATCGTCCGGCGAGAAGCAAACCCGCCCCCAAGGGTAGGATGCAAAGAAAGACCGCATCCCATCCCAATCGGCTGACCTATAGTGCCAAACACGGCGGCAGCCTGCAAAATGCAACCGCGATTTCAGCGTGAGTGGCACCACACTCCGGACAAGACAATGGTCCGAGGAGCCTAAAGGGGCGTCGATGGAAATCTGATATCCGTCCGGGTGAGAGGTCAGCAGAAGGTCCAACAGGGAAGGTGCATGATCCTCCACATCTGGAATCCGCGTAGGCGAAGTAACCAGTTGTGTCAGACCATATGCCAAGGCAAAATCATGAACAGATCTCCCCGCATGATCGGTTAAACGTGAACCGAGCCATTCGGCGTGATGGGCGTTAAAGTCGCCGAGGATCACGATCTCTGCGGAGGGGATCTGCTGTAGCAACGAATCTGCAGCCATTTGGACGTGGTCGAAGAGTCGGTCTGTTTCGGCATTACCGCTATGGGACCTATAGAGGCACCCGTAGACGCGCGGATGGTCGTCGCTGTCTACGCGTAGCCAAAGGATGGACAGGTCCAAACCTTCAAGTCTGCCGAGGCGTCGAGAACAGATGTCCTCTCTGACGTAAACGCAAACTCCAGCCCGAGGCACAAAGGAGTGTTCCAGTTTGTACCCCGGGCAGAAGAGATACGAGACATCAGCCGGAGAGGACACCTGCGTCTCGGTCAGAAAGAGCAGAGCCGGCCTCGCCGTCTGGAGATGGTAGTGGACGGCGTTTAGGTTAGAGTGAAGTCCCCTGATATTGCAGAAATTCACGGACAGCGTGGCAGGGGTCGCCTTGGTCTTGTTGCTCCGTTTTGCCCCGAGTAGTTTTAGTCTTGAGCGGAGTATTGCCCCCCCAGAATACGCGGGGCAGCCTGAGCACCCACGCTCAGAAGTGGAGAAACATAGTCGTGGATGCTCAGCGAGGGATTCTCCAGGGGTGCTGGTACCCTCCTGGGGTAGTCTATCATTTAATTCCGCTACCATGTTGATGGGGGGGGAGGGGATTTGGGCCTCCGGCCACCTGCACTCACCAGACGAAACGCGGAAGCAGAGCTTCCACTTCACGCCGGTATTCTGTGAGGTCGTGGTACCACCCCCGGTTTGAGCCGGCCCATACGTGCGACAGCAAAGCTGCCGCGTGGCTCTACCACTGTACTACTTTATATATCTATATATAAGTAGATGCAAAAACACGTTACACGTTACACTAAGATTTTATCTGTATCCTAGTACCGTTTTACATATCTACTAACTCTGCTGTCACAGAATAACAGCGTGTTTAATTAACACTGTTGAATATTGAAATTTTACAACTTATACATTTGTCAATATATATATATATATATATATATATATATATATATATATATATATATATATATATATATTGACAATTTCATTCCATCTTAGTCCTCAGGCATCACAACGCTTCTGCATTTTGATGTTTAATCGAGAATAATGTAGATATCTAAGGGCCACAGCATCCATTTACAGTCAGGTGGTAGGTTATGCCCGTTTGCGGGTTGCATATGAAACTCTCTCAATGTAGGTAGGATTTACAATATTTTCTATATTTGACGAATACGAGATAGGGGATCGTATCGAGAGTATCGAGTAACAGTATCGAGGTAACAGGTATCGCGTCTTTAAGGATTCTTCCCGTCATCAGTATAGTTATTCACATCAGGTACATACTTCTCCTTCCCTTGACGGCCTTGTTAGTCTAGAGATCGTAAACGTGGTTGCTGATCATGAGTTCCCGCGTTCGAACCCCGGGTCGGGTCGAAATCAGTTATAGAAATGTTTTGTCCAGATATTTTCAGTAGTAGTTCGAAGTCAGCAAGTTGACAGTGTTTCAGGAAAGCAAGGAGAGTCGTAGATTCTGCGCCTGAGTTCTCTCCAGCCATGTCAGATTATCGTCCCATCCAACTATGAGACTGTGGGAACAGAGAGTGCTTCTGTGCTCGCGCATTCATCTGAACACTATAATCCTATCCTGCACAGGTGGGGAGTATCCGTTAAGACTGGCCGCCATTTCCTCAATTTGGTTCGGAGAACATTATTATGATTATACTTATCTTTTAGTAATTATAGCCCACTGCTGGGCGTGGGCCTGCCCATTGTAGAGAGGATTATGCCTTAATTGACACAATTGGCATGCAGTTTAACGATCACGCAATCAGACACCTGGGACCCTACTACAGCGTCTGCTGTGGTACTGTATGGTATAACATAAGATCTTTCTGGCATGCAGCCCATAGATTCTAATACGTGCAGCGATCAAACAGTCAGTGGTTGTTCCGATAATATCCGATACAGTGCCACATGTGAAACAACAAGGAATGCCTCGTTTCCAGTAAATAGGGCGTCCGGCTTTCTACACTCATCATACGATACTCAGCAGTTTTAAGCTGCACGTGGTCCTTC